TCCTTCTTCTCAACGTGAAATTGTGCGTACTGGAGCTCAGGCATTTCCAGAGATGATAAGTACTCGAGAAGCTTCAACAACAGCGGCGCCAAGCGGTCTTGCATGTCCACAGCCTTCAGTGTCTTAACGAGACGTAACAACACGTCAATACTGAGTGCGCGACAGATAGTGTTTTTGTTTACGATCCCGTCTCCGACCAGGAATTCCAGCAGTTGAGAACGACACGTTGCGTCGCTTGCAGCCACACGCAAACTCAGTTCACCGAGATAGCGGTACAGCTTGACTCCAGAGAGCGCAACAGCTTCCATGACATCGTCTACCGTACGTGACGCAGTTTTCCAGAGGCGTAAGAAGTCACTTCGTACGTCGTCAGCCTCAGCTCCGTTAAGCAGGTCAACAAGTGCAAGACACGCAGCTTCACGATACTTGAAATTGCGGGCGTTTTCCAGCCGTGCCAAAGCGAACTGAAACAGAAGCGTCCAGTTCTGTCGAAGCAACGTTTTCTCTCCTTTTGCTGTTGATACAGTGACCGAGTTCCCCTTCGCAAACTCCCACAAGTTGCCCATGACGGCAGCTACCTTGCTGTTGGAGTGGAACTTGAGCAGATACAGCCAAGGCACCAGTTTCGTCTTGTTGGAGTAGTCCTCAGACATCCATTGACTGCCTGCTTTGGCTACGATTGAAGCCCGGAATTCTTTGTCTGTTACAACAAAAGAGAACTTGCTGAATCGCAGAGACGTACGAGATGACGATGCCAGGGACCCCCATATTGGATCCGCTGTGCTCAAGTAAAGCAGCGCGTACATGAGCTCCGGGTCGCCAACATCTGCTGCTACGTTGCTGACCTCACGATATGCTGCGTTCTCAACGGTAGAGCTAGGTGACGATGCAGTAGCAGTCGGGTCATTCCCTCTATCCGTATTCGCAGCATTTTCATCGTCATCAACAGCATCAGCAGTAGACGCAAAGGCTCGGAAGCATCGCAGTCGACGGAATAAACTGTCGCTGAACTGAACGCCCATATCTTCGGTCGGTGCGCGCAGTCGTAAGTAAGCAAGGCCCTTCACTGCGCTTTCCTTTGAGACTTCGTTCGCATCGTTCAGCATCGTCACAAAGAATTCGTGTACCTCCAGCACTGACTGTGAGTAAGCAGGGGATCCCAATACACTTCTCCACGACGTAGTAGACATCACTGCATCCCCACCATCAGAAACTGGTCCTAGACCAGCTGCACACATACAGAGCAGCCAAATCGTAGCGTTTCGACGAACTTTGGGCTGTCGAGATCCCGCGTAATCGGCCAGAACTCGCTCAAAAACTACAGCGGCACGGTTTTCTGCAAAGTGGGCGTACTTGGTCTGGCGATCAGTTGTAAACTCTTCACTAACATCGTGAGTTCCAAGAGCGACGAGGCCTTCGCCAACGTCAAACTGCAGCTCGGTATCCTCTTCATTACCGAGACTAAGCAGAGCGTTCAGGACTTCTTCGAGAGCTGTAAATACCTCAGAGGGCGTAGTCATTCCTGGTAATCCTGACACAGCTCGGCCGAGATTCTCGATTGCGACTCGCTTTAACGCTCCCAGCTTAGGACTCAGTTGATCTTCGAAATGAACAGCCTTTAACTTCCACTCAACTACTTGCCTCATACACTCGAGCGTCTTGATCTTTAGACGATTCCATTCGCTAGACTCAAGTCCTCGCGTGAAGCTCTGTAGTGTACCACTGATACCAATGGCATCAATGGCACTTCGTAGTAGCCCCACGTGCTCATTCAGTGCAAGTTCACTTCTCGGATAGGAAGCAAAGTTCGATCCTTCCTTGATTTTGTTCTCCAAAAGGTCTGCCATCTTCTGGAAACAAGCCAAAAGCATCTGCATCTCTTGACTCGAAGCAGCATTCACAAGAGTAGGATTCCCACCAAGGTAGCCCAATGCACTTCCAAGAATGTATACAGCCCCTGACAGTTGTTTTCCTGTGCTTGTATCGAGTCTCGACATGCCAACATTAATAATATCTGCCACGATCCGGCTGACGGTGAACGACCCATCGCTGCATGAACACGTTACAATTGCCGCAATATTCGACAGGAACGCGCGATCTTGGCTGACCACAACAACATCGTAAAGGTCCTTCGCTTGACCAGCCAAAATGGCACTCATACTGTCAGCGTCAAACCCACACACTTCCACCAGAGCGCTTGCTGTTGTTTCATACACCAACGAAGACGTCGCTGTGGCGGAATTCTGGGACTCTGCTATCCCCAACAGTGTCTGTACAAGGTACTCCACCACACAGCTCCTGTCTTCTTGGTTGCTGTCTGGCGAGGCTTTCATGATTTCAACGCAGAATCGCACACAGCTCTCAGCTGCATCATGCATGCTCGTCTTTAAGTCCTTCTGCGTGAAATTTGCGCTCAAACTTCTTGCCAGTGCAGCAGTAGATGGCAGTGGCTTGGCGAATAAAGCTTTATCCGACAGACGTCGGGTATCTTCGTCTGGAACTGCGCTCAGCCGTAGCACAGCAAACCGCATCGTAATATCATCATTCCCACCGGACCCTGACGTCGTCAACTGTTCAACACACCAGGCAGCAATCGCAGCTCGTACGCGAGCATAATTCTTGCCGCTATCAAATAGTTTCGAGCCATTTAACAGCCCAACCAGCTCTTGATGAACTTTACTTCTCACTTCCGGTGACGCTGCCGCCGCGTACGCACCCGCTAAGGTCGTAAACGCCTTCAAAGCGTTCGCACCGGCACCAGTGCGATGCTCTTCTTCGGCAAGACAACGCACAAGCAGCACCTGGAAAGCCTGTTCCGACGCTGCGACCAGTGTGGGCACACGCGTTGCAAGAACTGACAGCGTCTCGTACACACCCTGGCGGAATTCCCGTACAAATTCCGCGCTGGATGCCTCACTCTCGGTATGTGGATTCATTAGTAGTCGTAACAACGTTGGGAACATTACAGGGCCCAGTAAACCTTCCAGCATAGGTAGCTGACAATGGTGGAAAGTCCACTGACATAACCGCACACTCGCTAACTTGATCTTGCTCTCCACATTTGGCGGTCGGGAAGGCTCAGTACCGAACATTAAGTGGCACAACAGTTGCAACATCAAAGGTAGGACGTTCGTCGCTGCTTCGGAGACTGACAACAGTGTCAGCGTCTGCAATATACTGGCGTCGGCCAAGCGTGTTCGGTTCATCAACAGAAGTGCATCATCGCCCTCGATAGCCCCAGAGCTTTGAGCCACTTGACTGCCAAGCACCAATGTCATCAGTCGACGCATCACATCTGCATCCTCCAACTCCTTTTCTTCGTACTTAACCAAATACGATAGTTGTTCATCGCTAAACGCCTTCACTGCGTGGTGGAAAGAAGCACTACCTGCGAAATAGACTGGAAGCTTGAGTTTTGTCGAAATTCCCATCTCTTTTACAAGCTTCAGAGCGTGCAGCTGACGTTCGTAAAGAGTTTCTCGTTTTAACTCGGTCACTTTAACGCGTTGCAGTCGCTCCACTCGCGGCGTCATCAAGCCATAAATCATCGCACCCGCAGTGGTCGAGGAGGGCAACTCGTACAGCACCAAATCCAGTAAAAAGTCCAGTATCACGCCGACGTTGGCGTCGCTTTCATACACCTGCTCCGCTGTATCGCTGGTTGTCATTGTCACATCCTCTCCATGTTCCTGCCCTTCCTCTTCAATTGTGCTGATCCTGC